GCGCTCAGGGCGGGGACGCAGGGGGGCATGCCTCCCAGCCCCCCCGCCAGCTGCCCGAGGAGGAGAGGGGTCCCCGGGGAGCGGGTGCAGGCGGCTCCTCCGCAAGGTCCTTCCGGCGCGTCAGCCCCCGGCCTCCCAGCACAGGCAGACGCAGAGCCCCCGCCGTGGGGAGGGCCGGGGAGGGCGAGGGGGGCCGGGCGCTGGCGTCGTGGGCCGGTCGGTGGGTCGGTCGGTGGGTGGGGGCGGGGCGGGGCGAGGCGAGGTCCGCGCTCCTCCTGCGAGCCCCCTCACCAGTTCATGATGCAGTTCCGGTTCAGAGTCATGAAGTAGACCTGGCTGCTGCCGCCGGAGCGCACCGAGGCGAAGAACACCTGCGGGGCAGCGAGGCGGGCTAGCCGGGGCCCCCGCGGCCCCCCGCCGGGGGCGCCCACTCCCCCCGCCCCCCCGCCCCGCCGGGCGCCCCGCGGGGCCGCGCCACCCACCTTGTCGTTGCGCTCGCACAGGAACTTGAGGCGCTGCGCCCGCTTGTGCATGAAGACGCCGTCCAGGTGGCCCGTCTCCACCGAGCGGATCTCGATGGCCTTCTCGCCCCAGCCCATGATCTGGTTGGAGCAGATGTAGGCTGGGGGCGGCAGCGGCAGCGGCAGTGAGCTGGCTGCGGGGCCCGGCCCCCCGGCCCCCCGGCCAGCCGCCCGCCCGCCCGCAGGCTCACCGACGGAGGTGGGCATCTCGCCCCACTGGAGCACCACGTCCTTGGTGATGCGGCCGAAGGTGCTCACGTAGACGCCCTCGTCCTCGTAGCACAGCAGCATCTCCATCCCCTCCGTGTCCGGCAGGAAGATGATGGCGTGCGGCGTGATCTGCGACTGGATCTGCGGCGGGAGGGGGCCGCTCAGGCGGGGGCCCGCGGCGCCCCGCCGGCCCCCCCCCCGCACGCCCTCCGCCACGACTCACGTGCACCGGGACGTAGATGTCGTAGTTGTTCCCGGAGTCGACGTCGATGGCGTGGAAGCCGGCGCAGGAGCCGTAGATCACCTTCAGCCGCTGGCCCTCCTCCACCGTCAGCTCCACCAGCAGCGGCCGGTGCGGCAAGTCAGCGAAGGACTGCGAGGGGCCGGGCGGGGGGGCACGCTCAGGCTCCCGGCCGGCGGGCCGCCCGCCCCCCGCCAGCCCACCGGACGCCCGCACCGTCCGGGGCCCCTCCTCCTCTGCCCGGCCTCCGGGGCCGCCGGGGGGCCGGCCCGGAGAAGCGCCCCCCGCCCGCCCGCCCGCCCCCCGCCGGCCCGCGGCGCACCTTGAAGGCCATGAACTTGTGGTAAGGCTTCGGCGCCCAGGCGTACACCTCCACGGAGCTCTTGAGCGCGATGACCAGGAACTTGATCCGCTCGTACTTCACTGCCGGGACGGGGGGCCGAGTCACGGAGGGGCGGCATGCGGCCAGGGGCTTCCTCCCCCTGCGGGGGGCGGCTGTGGGCCGGGGGCTGCCTGCTGGGCTGGGTCAGGAAGACCCTTCCCGTGCCCGGACGCCTCCGCCGCAGCTGGGATGGGGCCCGGGCGTGGCGGGGGGCCCCGCTGAGGCCGGCGGAGCCGAGGGTGGCGGGAGAGAAGAAGGCCGAAGACCACGCGGCTCGCGGGCGAGGCCGCTTCCCCCGCCGGCGCCTGGGGGGCTTACCCACGCGGTAGTGGACGCAGCCCTCCATGTCGCCCACCGTGGTCCAGCCCTGCTTCTTCTCCACCTCGGGGTCGTTGCGCAGGATCTTGTTGCGCAGCCAGGAGAGGTAGTACACCCGCAGCTTGTTCCTCTTCCCTGCGCACGGGGAGCAGCGGGTGGGCAGGCCGCCGGTCCGGGGGCCGCGGGGGCGCGGGAGGCCCCACGGCTGCGCCCAGGACCGCAGAGGGCCCGGGGGGCTGGGGGCCCTTCCCTGCCCTGCCCCGCCCCCCTCCCGGCGTGGCGCTGTGGCGAAGGGGGCAAGGGGGGGGGGGCGGCAGCGCCTCTCACCAGAGATGGTGGTCAGCAGGTTGAGGCCCTCCAGGACGTCCATCTGCTGGAAGCGCCGGCGGCTGATCAGCCCGTACACCTTGCCCTGCCCGCTGCGGTCCAGCAACATCAGCCCGTTCTCCGTGCCCACCAGCAAGTTGACCCCTGCGGGCACCGAGGCGGCGGCCGTGAGGGGCTGGGCCACCCCGCCCCAGGCCGCCCCCGCCCCCCGCGCGCCCCCGCTCTCACCCCAGAGCGCGGCACAGAGGATCTCCGAGCTGAAGCGCTTCTTGTACTTGCGGATCTCGGGCGTGTCGCTGTGGGGGCGCGTGTTGGTGGGGTTCACGTTGACCACCGAGCCCTTCCGGGCCTCGAGCTGCAGCTGCTCCAGCCGCCCCGGGTCAAACGCTGCGTCGGGCGGGGAGAGGTCAGGCCGCCAGCGGCACCCGCCTGCCCTGCCCTGCCCTGCCCTGGCCCGGCCCGGCCGTGTGGGCACTCGCGTGCGGCTCTCGGGGCCGGCCGCGCCCGCTCGGCGTGGGGCGGCCTCGCCACGCTTGGGACGGAGGAAGGGGCTGGGGGCTCCCCCTGCCGGCCGCTGACCAGCACCGCGACTCTGCTGCACTCCACAGCCACGTGCAAGCCGGCGCTCCGTCCGTCGCCACGCCGGCACAAGGTGCCGCCCCCTCGGGAGGGGGTGCCCTCCCCTCCCCTCCCCTCACGCCCCCCCCACTCACCGGCGACAGGGATGGTGTCCCCCCCGCCCGGCGAGCTCTGGTAGATGCCCAGGTCCACAAACATGGTGAAGGAGCTCTTGCCGGGCGCCTTGACGAGCCCACGAGACTGGTACTGCGGCGGCGGGGACGGGGAGAGGCAGCAGGTCAGGCGGGGGCAACCCCGGCACGGCCCCCCAGGGCAGCCCCCTCCCAGGTTCCTCGTCGCCAGGGGATCCGGGGGCCGTTCCGAGGTGTTCCCACGGGGCCCGCCTGCTCCCGGGCGGGCCGCCCCCCCATCAGCACCGGCCGAGGCGGGGGCCCGACCGACCGACCGACGGGCTCCGGCCCGCCCCCCACCCCCCGCGCCCGCAGGCTCACGTCGGTGGCCGCGTCCTTGACCGGGGAGGAGGCGCCGCTGCCGCTCTTGGCCTCCGTGGGCGAGTGGCTGGGCTGGACCACGTCGGGCAGGTTAGTGTAGCCGTTGCTGTCGCTGTGCAGGAGCCCCCGCTCCTCCTCGGGGGTCTGGAGGGCGGGCGAAGGGGCGGCTGAGTGGGGGCCGGACTCCCCCACAGACCCCCTGCCCCAAGGCCGCACCGCCCGTGTGACTGCGGCACGATGCGGCCGCAGGTGCTCCAAAGCGCCCGCCATACGCCCGCCGGCCCCTGCCTTGCAAAGGGAGCCCGGGAGACGGGGAGCCGCGGGGCCAGGCCGGGCGTGGGCGCCCAGGGCGCGGCTCAAGCGGGCGAGGGGGGAGCGGCCCGGCCGTGGCGCGGGGAGGAGCCGTGGCTTCCGAGCGGGGCCCAGGAAGCGCTGAGGCCGAGCCGTCCCGGGCGGGGAGACGGGGCCGGTCCCGCCAGGGGGCACAGGGGCTCACCCGCTGCACCAGCATCGTGCCCTCGCCGTACGAGCTCTCGGAGCCGCCGCTGCCGCCCCCCGCCAGGTCCTCCACGTCGTGGACCACCATCGTGCTCACCGAGTCCGTGTCCCCGTCCCTGCGGCAAGAGGCAGGCGAGCCGATGTGGCCGGGCGCGTTCCAAGCCTCCGGAGCGCCACGGAAAAGCCCCCGGGGGGGAGGGCTGGCAGGATGAGGCCCGCCCGGGACGCCTGCGTGGCTCAGCAGACGCCTGCCGCCGAGGAGTCCCCGGCAGGATGGGGCATGGGGCAGGAGCCCCGCCGGCAGAGGCGGCAGCCCTGAAGCCCACCCAGCGGCGAGGGGCACGTCAGACCCAAAACAGGGACAGCAGAGGGACCGCAGAGCCCTGCCGGGTCGAGCCGGTCGGGACCGGGAAGGCCCCAGCCCTGCCTGCCAACCCCGAGCCCTGGGTGTCCCAGCCCCCGCCACTCACCGAGCCCCAGGGGCATCAGTGCCAGGCTCCCCCTCGGCCTCTTCCTCCTCCTCTTCCTCCTCCTCGCTGGAGTCCATCTCCTCACTGGAGGAGGAGTAATCCATGGCCTTCTTAAGGGGCTTGGGGGCCGCGTCTTCTGGGCGCTCCTTCAGCAGCACAAAATTCTAGGCACAGGGAAAGGCAGAGCAGTGGGCGTGCGTGGGGAGCGGGGGGGGGGGCGCCTGTCAGCACAGGGCCGGAAGAAAAGCAGGACCCCGCGCGCGCAAGGCGCCGGTTGCCCCGGTTCGGGGGGAGGCGCCTCTGCGATGGAAGCACCCACAGTCCCGAAGAGAGGGGCCCTGGAGGCCCCCCGGCCCGAGGAGAATCCGCCTGGAGTAGGGATCAGTGGTAGCACAGAAATTTTGAAAGGCAGGCAGGCGGGCAGGCGGGCAACAGCCCGGGAGGGCCCCCCAGGATGCGCACGGTCGCGGGCATTTCTGCCCACCCTTTCTGGCCTGACCGCGCCCCAACTTCACGCTTGCTCAGCTGACCCAAACAGCCCCAGGCTGCGCTGCCGTCGCTGGGGCCCTCCGGGGGCAGATGGAGGGCGGAGGGACCCCGGAGCCTGGCCTCGGGCTCCCCAGGGCAGCGCTGGCGAAGTCTCCCTGCACAGGCAGAGCCCCGGGAACGCGAGCCGCATCACGTGCAGTTGGTCCGCCACAACCGCGGGGGCTGGGGGTGCGGGGCCCCCATAAAAATGGGGGGAAATGCTAGTATCCATAGGCCCCCCCAGCTCACCAGTGCCGCCTCCTCGCAGGTGGGAAGTGGCGGAGGCGCCCCGCTGCGGGTGGGTGGGGCGGGAGTGTGTGCTTTGGGGGCCTCCTGCTCCCCCCGCCTGCCTCCGCCCCCTTGCCAGCTTTCATTGACCAGGACAATTGTCTGCGGCAATTTTTACGACGGCTCCGTCCGTGGGTACGGCCCACTCCTACCGCGGGGGCCGCGCTCACGGCTAAGAGAGCTGCGGGGGGACACGGCCCTGGCTGACGATGCCACGGGGGCACCGAGGAAGGAGCGCGTGCCCGGCTGCCGGCTTGCCCTCCCGCCCCGTTTCCTAAGGCCACGGCCGCCACGAGCAGCGCCTGGAAGCCAAGCCACGGGGCCCCCACAAGGCGCCAGGAGAGGTGCCAGGCCGCAGGCCCACGGGAGGCGTGGCCAGCCCCACAGCTGGCCCCCCGCGGCGGCCAGAGCAGGCACCAGTGAGCGGGCAGGCCAGCAACCCGCCCGGGGCCACGACACGGCGGGGGGGCACGGCGGGGGGGCACTAACTAACCTCGCCAATGGCCCGCTTATAGCTCTGAGTCGTGCAGAGGAAAGCAGAGAGACAGAGAGAAGGCAGAAAGTTAGCCCCTCGCCGGCCCCCCGAGCGCCCCTTGCCAGCCGCTCCCAGAGCCCGAGGGCTGCGGCACACGGCCCCTGCCCTCGCGGGGACGGAGGAGGGAGCGCCCCAGAAGAGCCCAGGGGCTGCCGACGTGCCCGCCCCGAGGCCCCAAGGGGAAGCAGGCGCCAAGCCCCACGCCCGGAAGCCCCTGCCCCTGCCATGAGCCTCCAGGCGGAGCCGGCTGGAGGGCGGGCAGCCGTGCGCCCTCCCCTGCTGGCCAGGCCTCCTCCGCCCCCGGGGCCCCGCGGTGGGGCCCAGCCCCTGCCCCTCGCCAGGTACTGGTACTCACGGCTGGCCGGCCGGGCCGGGAGCGGTGGTCGTCCGGCCGGGGCTTGCTCCCTTGCAGCAGGGCCGAGGGGCTGTCCAGCTTGAGGGGAGCTGCAGGGCAGATGGGACTTGGAGTGCCGCCCTCGGCTGACTGCCCGCCCTCCCACAGGCCACACGGACTGGCCGGCAGCCGCAACTCGGGCCACGGGCCAAGAGCCTCCGGAGCGACGCACGTGGGCCGGAGAGCTGCTCGCACCCGGATGCCGGGCAGGCGATGCGGCGGCTGCAGAGCCGGCCAAGGAGGGCGCCTTCTTGGGGAAGGCGCCCCCCGGGGGGAGCAGGGGGAGGGCATGCCGGCACCAGCGCCCCTCGCGTGCCACGGGCCTTCTTACGGAACCGGGCGCAGCCGCTCCGGGAAGAGCGCGCGAGGTCCCTCTGCGCCGCGGCAAAGGCCGTGGCCGCGCCGGCCCGCCTGGCCCAGGACGGCTCCGCCTCGGTCCCTCCGGCCGCTGCAGGGGGGGAGCCGGGCCGAAGGAGCCCCGGCTCTGGCGCAGCACCCCGGCGCAGCACGTGCCGGCGTGCCCCGCGGCCCCGGGAAGCTGGAGGCGCGGGAGGGGGAGCCCTGCGCGGAGCCCGCCCTCCGGAGCCCGTGCCGTGGTGGCCCTCACCTGCCACGCGGTTGCGCTCCAGGGACCCCGCCAGGGGCAGGTGGGCCCCCCCGGAGGGCAGCAGGCCGTCCGCACGTTCCCAGCCGGGGTCGCTCCTCCGCAGGTCGGGGTTGCTGTGAGGGAGAAGGGCCGTGGCTGCTGAGCCTGCCGGCGCCGGCCCGCCACCCCAACGCCGCCCCGGGGCACTCCACCTGCCAGCAGCCACAGCACCCGGGACCCTTCACCGCAGAGCGCGCACCACAGCAGAGCAGCCGGCCGCGAGCGAGCGAGCGAGCAAGTGAGCGGCACCGCGACACCCCAGCGAGCACCGGTGCGCCACTCCATTACCTACTGGCGCTCGGCACGGGGGCCGGCGGCTCCCGGGACGGGGTCCGGCCCGCAGGCTGGGGGGCAGGAGGGGCTGGCAAAGGGGTCCCCCACCGGGGGCCCCGCTCCAGCCGGCTCTGCAGGTGGATATGCCAGGCCGACTTGCTACGGGGCCTGTGGAGGGGAGCAGAAGGGCGTCAGGGCATCCGCCGGGGCCGGAGGGGAGGGCCTGGGGCAGCCCCAGCCGGAGCGGCCCTCCCTCCGGAAGAGGCTGCGGGGATCTCCTTCGGTTCCGGCGATGCTCACGCTGCCTGGTGGGAGCTCCTCGCGGCATCCGAGGCTCCCCCACACCCCTCGCCGGCGCTTGCGTGGCGGGAGACATGGACTGTCCCCAGCCTCTGGGATGAGCCCCTGCTGGGCAGGGTGCCCCCTGCTGGATGCCCACATGTGCCATGAGGCTCCCAGGCAACGGTGGGGCGAGAGGCCGGCCGCAGGGCAGCCGAGGAGAAGCTGTTCCGTGCCGGAGCGCCAACCGGCTCACCCGTGGAGCGGGGACACGGCCGCGCCTGCTGGCAGCTCAGCCTTGGGGTGAATTTGGGGGGCTTTCTCCGGAGGGCCCACAGACCTCCTCCCCAGGCTGGTGGAGCGGAGAGGCCTGGGATGCTGCCCGAGGGCCCTCCGGTGCAGTCGGCACCTTGCGTCACCCCGTGCCCGGGTCTCTCCGCACCTTCGGCCTGGAGGCGAGGCCCAGAGGAGGGCGACCCCAGGACCCGGCTGCCGGGACGGGGCGGCTACGGTTACCTGGCCCGGATGGCGTGGACCGGTCTGACGGCGCCGCCGCTCGCTGCTCCGCTGGCGTCGAGTGCCGTGGCGATGGAGGACGTCCGCTGGGGCACCTGGACGGGGAGAGGGGGGCAGCTGTGGGGAGGCGGGCGCAGGCGGAGCTGACTGCCAGGCCGCTTGGCCGTGGCCCCGGGGCTGCCCTCGCGTGGCTCAGCCACCTGCGGGCCCCTCGTCCTCCTGAGGCCTCCATGCCGGCGGGCTCTCAGGTTGGCGCCCGGCAGCAACGGCACAGGGGCCCCAGCGCGCCAGTCCCACCCCTCCCCGTGGGGGCAGCCGCCGCCTGCGGAGACGAGCGCGGGGGAGCGAGGAGCAGGCAGCCCTCGGCGTGGCCGGCAGCACAGCGTGGGGAGCAGCAGCGCAGCGGGGGGCGGCCAAAGCGGGGGGCGGCAGAGCCCCAGCGGGAGGGACCCGGCCGGGGCTCCTCGGCACGCGGCGGCACGAGGGGGGCAGCCGCCGCGAGGACCGTGCGCAACCGGCGGGCCTCCGTGGGGGGCGGGGGGGCCTGGTCCCCGTCCCCCCGGCTCGCCCCCCGCTGCCCCGCCGTTACCTTGGGGGGCGGCTCGGGATCCATTTTGACCCAGGGTCCTCGCTGCTCTCCGGCGGGCCGGGAGGGCGGTGGGGCCGGCCCCTCCGAGGTGGGGTCGGAGTTCTGCCGGATCATGCCCACCCGCGGCGGGGACGGGGTGGCGGCGGCGGTGGCGGCAGCGTCATGGACGGGGAAGGCGGCCATGTTCTTGCTGGGCTGGTCCTGCAGCGACTGGGAGCGGGGCACGGGGGCGGCGTAGGGCTTGAGCGGCACGCGGTGCGCCAGGTGGCTCTGCGGAGGGCAGCGGCACGGGTGGGCGGGGGCCGGGCTGGGCCGGGCTAGGTGCCCTCGCGGGGAACACGCTCCGGCCGGGGGCGCCCTCCGGCCCTCGGGCCCTGCTCCCGCTACGCTCTGGGCGCCCTCCCTCGGAGAGGGCCGGCGGGCCGAGGGCGCGGGAAGCGGAGGTGGCAGCGCCGAGCGGCATGCGGGGGCGGCTGTGCCAGGCAGGCGGCGGAAGCTTCCGGAGGCGCCCCGGCGCGAAGGGCGCCGGCACCCACCTTGTGCTGCCCCTCCTGGGGCTCCACGGGGCGCTGCATGGGCGGGGTCTGGGAGGCCGGGGAGGGGGCGTGCGGGGCCGGCTCCGCGCGGGGCTGGGGGGCCGGCTCCGGCCCGGGGCCCGGCTTGGCCTTGGCCACGGGCGAGGCGGCGTTCTGCTTGCTCAGGCGGGTGCGCTCCTCCACCTGCGAGGGGGAAGCCCCGGGGGGGGGGTGAAGCGCGGGCGGGGGGGGGGCCGGCCCCCCCCACGCCCTGCTCCGGGGGGGCCGGGGGCCGCCCGCGCCCGCCCCCGCCGGACCCCCCGCCCCAGACGCCCGCGGGGCCGCGAGGCGGACGCACCTCCCGCGCCCAGGTGGGCTTCTCGGCGGGGTTGGCGCTGCGGTTGTGGGGCCGCGGGGGCTTCTCCTGCTGCTGCTGCTGCTGCTGCTGCAGGGACTTCAGGTAGGCGTGCTCCTGCTGGAGCTGCCGCTGGAGCCGCTCCGACTGCCGCTGCTCCTCCAGCTGCTTCCGCTTGTACTCCTGGAGGGAGGGTGGGGGGGGAGAGGGGGGGCAGAGCAGAGCAGAGGGCCTGAGAGGCTGCCCGGGCCGCACGGGCTCAGCCCGCCTGGGGAAGGGGGAGCGTGGCCCGCGGGCAGCAGCAGCCCGTGGCTTTACCAGCAGGAGGGCTTGTTCCTGCAGGAGCTGCTGCTGCAGGATTTCCAGCTGCCTCTGCTCCTCCTCCAGCTTGTGCCTGATGTACTCCTGGAGAGGTGAAGAGAGGAAGGGAAAGAGAGGAGAGCAAAAGAGAGGAGAGGAGAGAAGAAAAGAGAGAAGAGAAGAGAAGAAAGGAGAGAAAAGGAAGGGAAAGAAGAAGAGAAAGGGAAAGAAGAGGAGAGGCGCAGAAGTGACGAGGGAGCCCAGCACCAGCAGAAGCGCAGCCCCAGGGCAGGGCAGGGCAGAGGGGAGCAAGCACCGGGAGCCCAGCCCAGCCCCAGCGCCCGACTTCAGCCCGCGCGGCCCGGGGTGCAGAAGGGAAGCGAGGCCCGAGCGCCTGGCGAGCCCCCGGCCCAGCGGCCGCCCGGGGACCCCGGGGCCAGCCGCGCTCACCTGCTCCCGCTCGGCCTGCCGGCGCTCCTCCTCGCGGCGCAGCACCTGCATGTCCTCCAGGCGCCGCCGCTGCTCCTTCTCCTGCCGCTTGCGCTGCTCCCGCTCCCGGCGCTGCTGCTGCGAAGGGGAGGCCCAGAGGGGTCGGAGGGGCCCGGAGGGAGGGGCGGGGGGCCCGGGGGGGAGGGGCGGGGGGCCCTCCCCGCCGGGCGCACGCCCCACGGCCCGGCCGCGCCGGCTCACCTCTTCCACGCGCCGCCGCTCCTCCTTCTGCTCCTCGATGCGCCGCTGGCGCTGGTGCAGCAGGTGCTGGACGTGGGCCTCGGAGTCGCGCTGCTGGGAGGCCAGCTGCTGCTGCTGCTGCTTCAGGGCCTCCGAGTGGCTCTTGTTCTCCTGCTGCAGCCGCAGGAACTCCCTGCGCAGCGTGGACTCGCCCGGGACGTTCATGATGGAGCTGCGGGGCGGGCAGAGGGCGTCCCAGGCGCTCCGGCAGCGCTCCGGCCGGGCGCCCCCTTGCGGCCCCCTTGTGGCCCCCGGCCTGGCCGTCCCCCCCGCCCCGCAGGCCCCCGGCCCAGGCGGCGGGGGGCAGGTCCGGGGCCCCGCAGGCCAACGCGCCCCCCGCTCGCCCGCCCCGCGGCAGCCCCGCCCGGTACCTCGGCTCCCCTTCCTCGCCGCGCCCGTCGTCCTCTTCCTCGCTGCCGCTGTACTCGTACTCCGTCTCGTCTGTCGGGAGGCGGCGCAGGGTCAGGGGGCGCCGGCGCAACCAAACCCTCCCCACCCCGCCCCACCCCGCCCCACGGGGGGCCGCGCTGCGCCCGCGCGGCCCACGCACCTTTCTCGCCCCTCTTCTTGCGCGTGCGGTCGATGTGGTCCTTCAGCTGGATGCGCACCTGCCGCTCCGTGGGCTGGTCCCGGATGAAGGGGAACTTCAGCAGCTGCTCCGTGGGCGGGCGGCTCGTGTAGGCCTTGATCAGGCAGTTGTCGATGAAGTCGATGAACTTCTTGGACCTGTGGGGGGCGGGCGGCCCTCAGCGGCGGCCCCTGGGACCGCGCGGGGCCATGTCCCCAGTCGGCTCGGCCTGCAACCTTCCAGAAGCACCGGCCACGACGGGACCCGCCCCCCCGGGCAGGTGAGGCCCTGTGCCTGGGGTGGCCCCGGGTCGGGCAACGCGGCCGAGGGCCGGGCTCCCGGGAAACGGGCACGAGGGGCAGCAAGGACCGGGGGCGTGTGGGGCGGGGGGCGGGGGCAAGGAACAGCAAGCAAAGGCGGGCCAGGGCCCCGGGAGGGCCGCGAGGCGAGGACCGCGCCCCAGCCCGCTCTCCGCCTCCCCTCCGGCCCGCGGGGGGTGCAGGAGGGCCCCGAGTTTCCGCCACAGGGCACCCGCAGGGGCACCCTCTCCGCACGGCGCACGTACCATTTCTTGGACTTCAGCTTGGGCGGCGGGTTACGAGGGATCAGGAAGAGGGCCCGCATGGGATGCATGTCGCAGAGGGCTGCAAGAGGGCGGCGTTAGGGGGCGCCTGGCCGCTGGGTCCTGCCCTGCCAGCTCCCCGGCCCGAGGCAGGCCGGGCCCCCTCCCACCCGTGTCCCCCCAGAGAGGCCCAGGAAGCAGGTTCCGGGCCTTCTGCAAGTGGACCTGCACCCTTCCGGCAGAGCCAGGGGCCCGGCTCCCATCAGCCACGGCACCGGGGACACGGTCCCGCCCGAGGAAGCTGGGCCGGGCCCCCCTCGCGGCGTGGCACTCACGCGGGGCTCCTTCCGCCATCTCGATGGCCGTGATGCCGAGGGACCAGATGTCGCTCTGCGGGGAAGCCGGAGGAGCGGGTGAGGGCAGCCCGAGACCGGCCTCCGGCTCTGCTCTGCCCTGCCTGGAGCCCCCCACGGCCCGAGACAGCCAGGCTTCCCCGCCACCCCGTCCCCGAGGCCCCCCCACCGGCCCGCACCCCAGCAGCCCCCACGGGCACCCCGGGCCGCAGCGCGGCGCCTACCCGGTAGTCGTAGGTGGCGTCCGGGTTCTCGTCGCAGGCGATCACTTCCGGGGCCATCCAGTAGGGGGTGCCGATGAAGGTGTTGCGGCGGCCCACCGTGCGGTCCAGCTGGGCGCTGACCCCAAAGTCCACTGCGGACGGGCGCACGGGCGGCCGGTGAGCCGGGCGGCAGGCCGGGGGCCCTCGGGGGCCGCCCCGCGCCAGGCGGGGGGGCGCGCTGGCCGGGGCAGAGGGGCCTCCCCCCCCCCCCGCAGGGCTGCCCACCTACCTAGCTTCACCTCGGCGTTCTCGGTGAGCAGCACGTTCTGGCCTTTGATGTCCCGGTGGATCACTTTGTGCGCGTGCAGGTGGGCCAGCCCCTGCGGTGGGAGCGGACGGCGAGAGTGGCGTCACGTCACGGCCCGGCCCGGCCCGGCCCCCCGCGGCAGCGCGCCCCCCGCCCCGCGCCCGCGCCCGCCTCACCCGCAGGATCTCGCGGCACACGTAGGCGATGCAGTCCTCCTTCAGCGCGTTGCCCTTGGTGTTCTTCACCAGGTCTGTCACGGAGCCGGCCCCACAGAACTCCATCACCAGCTGTGGGGGGCGGGCGGGCGGGTCAGCGGGGGCCTCGGCGGGGCCCCGGGCGCCCCTCCCCGCCCCTCCCCGCCCCTCCCGGCCCAGCCCTCACCCAGAGCTGGTCGTCGTTCCCAGGGGGGCTCTTCTTGACGAAGGCCCCGTAGTAGGTGGCGATGTTGCGGTGGTGCGAGTACTTCTTCAGCATGTTGATCTCCTGCTTGATCTCCTCCTCCTCGTCCTGGAGGAGCAGAGCAGCTGCCGGGAGGGCGGCCGGGGGCACGGGGGCCGGGCCGGGCCCCTCCGCTGCCCCGTTCCAGCCGCGGGGGCCTCTGCTCGGGGCCTCGCCCGCCCCCCGTCCAGCCGAGGGCCCCGCAGGCCGGGCCCGCGTCCCCCCCCACGCCACCCCCCCACGCCACGCCGCGAACCTCGGTGACGTCCATGACCTTGATGGCGGCCAGCTGCCCCGTCTTGACATGGCGGCCCTGCGGGAGGCGGAGGAAGAGATGGCGGCCCGTCAGCCTCGCCAGTGGCCCCGATCCTCCCCGGCCTGCTGGCCGAGCTCAGCCCGTCCGGCACTGCGCGCTGCCTGGCGGAAGGGGGCCACCCCTCTCTTGCCCCGGGGAGCAGCGGCCGATCTGGGCCCGGCCGAGGAGATGCGGGCCCGGCCAGCCCCACGGAGCGTCTCCCGCCGCACCCTCCTCCAAGTCAGGCGGGCAAGTGCAGACGACGGGGCCGTGGGGACGGGCCGGCGAGGCACTCGCCCGGCAGGGCAGGGAGCCAGAACCGCTCCTCCGCTGGCCCCAGGCGGCCTCCCGGGCCTTGCACACGCCTCCAGGTGGGGCTCCCAGAGTGTCTGCCCCCAGCCCCCGGGGCCTGCAGGTCTTCTGCACCCGCTGCACATCCCGGCCAGCCTCCAGCGGCAGCCCCCTCACGCGGCCCGCCGGGGGCAACCAGCACAGCGAACGGTCCAGCCGGTCCGCGGCCAGAGACGGGCCAGGACTGGCCCCAGGCGCCCCCCGGCTGCGGAGGCGACCCTGGCCCGCCCCGAGAGCGGGGTGCCCCGCGGAGGACGAGTGGCACGGCGGCTCCGAGCAAGGGGCCACTCGCTCCCTGCCCCGGGCAGCGCCCCCTTGTTGGCCCAGGGCGGCTGGGGGGAGGACGGGGGAGGGCCAGGGGCGTTGGACACTGGGCCGCCGCCAGCCCCCTCAGGGCCTCCGCCTGGAGGTCTGGTCCGGTCGGGTCGCCCCCTCGGACCCACCAGGCAGGAGGAGGCCCGGCTCTGCAGCCGGGGAGAAGGGTGGGAGGCCGACTCTCCCTGACCCGGAAACACGCCGGCACCCCAGCCGGGCCCGGAGGACGCACTGGGCACCTGGGGAGCCGAGGAAGCCCAGTGCCTGCAGGGGCGGCCCCCAAATAAACCTTCCCGGGGCTCCACATTCCGGTTCCCCCCAGGCTGGACCCCACTTTTCCCAGTGCCCCAAGGACAAAAAGGCTGGGGGCCCGCCCTGAGCGCAGGAGCAGCACCCCCCCGGAGCGGCGGGGGGGCTTCACGGGCAGCTGCCCCAGAGCGGAGCCTGCAACCCAGGGACGGGCCAGCAAGGCCCGGGAGGGCGTGGACTGGAAGGGCAGGTGGGAGCGGGCTGCGGAGAGACTCCGCACCTGGCCGGATCAGGGCCCCCCAGCCCCTGGCCGGGCATCCATGGAGGGTCCCCCAGGCACAGAGCAGGCACCCCCCTCGCCCCCTGCCCCGCCCTGCCCCGGCCCCCTCGGAGAGGCCATGCCCTGGGGGGGTGCGCAAGGCCACGAGGCCCCTCGGCAGGCCCCCCGCCCGAGCTGCTGTGCCGTCAGCCACGTGCCGGCATTGTCTGCGATGCCACGCAGCCGGCGTGGGCAGCCGTTGCTTGGCAACCGCCTCCCCCTTCTTTTCAGGGGCGCCTGCGCGGAGAGGCCCCCCCGCTGCTGCCCGAACAGAGCGATCCGGCTGCCTCCCCGCACAGCCCTCCCGGGTGGGGGAGGGGGCCGCCCAGCAGCCCCCCCGTGGCCCCCGAGGGGCCGCCGCTCGGCCCCGAGCCCTGCGCCTGTGGCAGACGCCTTGTGCTGCCACGGGGGCTCCCCACGGCCGGAGCGCCCCCCCCACAGGCGCCCTGCACACCGCTGCTCTGGGGGCCGGCCGGGCCGGGGGGGGGGAGCAAGGCCGAAGACTCCCCCAGCCTGGCACGCTGCACATGGGAGAGGACGCCTGTTCCCATCCGCCCCAGCAGGCCAGCAGAAAACGGGGCGGCGGATGCCGAGCCCCCGAGGAGGGAGGACTGGTGGGCGCCTGGGGACACCCCATCCTCCCCCCGACGCCCGAGCAGCCTCGGCCGGCCCGGCCTCGATGGGGGACGGGGACAGGGACGGGCCCGTGGGAGCGCCAAGGCCGGGCCGGCTGGCTCGGGGTGGTCCAAGGCTCGGCAGCGCCCGGCGGGCAGGACCGGGGCTGGTGCGGAGCCGCCCGCCCCTCGAAGGACCCCCTGCGGCGCCCTGCAGGCGGGGGCACCCTGCAGCCGGCCCCCCGCGGGTGGCAAAGGGAGAGCTGCACCAGGTCCCAGCAGCCCCGGCTCCCGGCGGCCATGTCCGGGCCCCAAGGGGAAGGCACGGCGGGGTTCCTCGACCCCCCAGCAGCCCCCCTGCCCGGCAGGAAGCTCAGCCCAGGTCATTTTGGCTCAGAGGGTCGGGATGTTTGTACGAAGAGGGACCGAGCCCCGAAGCCAGAGGGGCTGTGGGGGGACGAACGCGCAGCCCCCATCTCCGTGGGAACCACCCGGGGCAGCCGGCTGTGCTGCTCGCGGAGCAGGGCTCCGGGGAGGCTCAGGTGCGGCCGGGAGCCTGGCCCGGCCCGGCACTCTGCACACGCCCACGACTTGCTGGGCCCGGGCAGGATGCAGGAGCACGTCCGTGCCACAAAGCCCCCGCTCCTTAGGGCCGCTTTCCAGATAGGCCTGGATGCCACGGCCCCTGCTGTTGGGGGGCACCTCGCTGCCTGATTGCGGGGCACCGCAGTCTGCGGGGGCCCGCCAGTCACTCCCACTGCGGCCGAATCCAAGGCAGGGGCCCGCGTCTCCCCGCAGGCCGCCCCACGCTCAAGGCCGCCCCGCCCGGCCGGGGGCATCCCTGTCCCCCTCTGGCCCAACAGGCGCTTCCCCCCCCGACTCCCAGCGGCTGCCGAGGGGCCGGCGTGGGGCACTCACCTTGTACACCTGCCCGTACGTGCCGTTGCCGACCACCTCCACCAACTCGAAGATGCCGGCCGGGTCCTGCGGAGGAGAAACGGGCCAGGCTTAGCGTCTTCCGAGTGCGGCTGCCGCTCACACAGAGGGATTCGGGGCGGGGGCCCCTTGCTGGGGGCACTGGGACAAGCGTGCTGCACTTGGCCGCCTGGCAGGGGAGGGGGAGGGGGAGGGGGAGGGGGAGGGCCCCAACCCCAACAGGACCCCCCTGCCCAGGCAGCCGGGGCCAGGCTCATTCTCTGACGCTAGCGCCAGCCCTGAACGCCCCGACATGTGCTGCAGGGGCGAAGCGCCCCCCGGGCCTGAAGCGCAACCACCTCCTGGCCCCCCAAGAAGGACCCACCCGCGGCCCGGGAAAAGGCCCGCGTGGCCCTGACCGGTGCCCGAGCAGGAGGGAGAGCGGGCTCCCCGGCCGTGCCATTGCGGCGCGACGGGGCCGGTGGGCAGCTACGGAGGGAGCGGCTGCACATGCTCAGAGGCCGAGCTCTGAAGCCCAAGGGCCCGGAAGCAGCGTGAGACCCGCGGGGGACCCGCAGGGCGTGCTGGGTGAAGGGCCCCCTGCTCGAGGGGAGAGTCCGCCTGCCTGCAGCAGGGGCGTGGCGCAGGCACAAGCACGATGCCCTGGGGCCCACAGAACCCGGCCCCGCTGAGGTCCCCACGGATGCCCGCCCGCCTGCCCTCTGCTCTGCCCTGGCCCGCCTGGCGGCACCACAGGGGTGTGCCCGCCGGGCGACACACAAGAGGCGTGCAAGGCACCGCCGTGCGAAGAGCCCGACGCCTCCACAGCGCAGGCGGCCCTCTGCCCGAGGCGGCCCGCCCGCCCGCCCGCCCTCCCTGGGGCTGCGCTCCGGCCTCCCAGCAGCCCTGCACAGCCAGCCCGGCTCGGACCGCCCCCCCGGCCCTGCCACGCAGCCCCCCTCCCAACCCAGGGAGGGGAGGCGGCGGCCCCGCCCCGCCAGTGGGCCACGTCTCCTGGGCCCAATATTAATAGCTTCTCATTAGCGTGGGAGGAGAGGAGGGGAGGCGCTCGTGGCGAGCGCAGAGGCGGCCTCAGCGGGCCGCAGCCGGATCTGCCCTGGATCCGCTCAGGACGGCCGAGAGGGGGAGGCGCGGCTGGCCGGCCCTGCTCGCCCACGAGCGCCTCCTTGGAGCCTCGGGGGGGCGGGCAGGAGGGGGGGGGGGGGGCAGAGACCCAGGAGGCGCGGCGAGGCCCCGGGGGTGTGGGCCAGGGAGCCTCACAGGTTGTGTGAACGCACCTCGGCCAGATGCCCAGCGGCATGCGCAAGCGAGCCAGGGATTTCGGGCAAGAAGAGGGCAAGGGAGGTTCAGCCACGTAACACATACACTTCCCGAAGCCGGCGAGGGGAGAGCGGCCCAGCGAAGGATGCGGGCCCGGCTGGGCTGGCCAGCGAGCCAGCTGGACACACCAGAGCCTCCTCTGGCTTCGGAGGCGCCCGCCAGCCCCTGCGGCGACCTTCCCGCGGCCGCCTCGGCCGGCAGGTGAGGCGGAAGGCCCGCTTCCAGCCTGGGGAAGGCCGGGCCGCAGAGCAGCCACACAGGGTTCCCTGGCGCCCCGGTCGGTCGCTCGGGAAGGGCGACGCAAGCTGCCTCACGGAGCACGGAGGCCCCGTCCCAAGACGGAGAACCAGAGCTGTGCGTCTGAACCCAGAGGAGTTACAGAAGCAAGCAGCTGCACAGACGCACAGCAGCTCGCGTGAGAAAATCACGCTGCGCCGCCATCCTCCTCGGCATGAAAAGCACCGCTTTTCCTGCCAGCGCGAAACCTTCCACAGCCCAAGGTTAAGGAAAGGATTCTGAACTCTTCTGTTCCGATGGAGGATTTCTCTGCATTTGGGGCAGGCCAAAAAAACCCAGCCCCAAGCCGCCCTCCACGCACTGCCGGAGTCCCAAAATAGCAGCTCCAGACTCACGCAGGTAAACAGAGCAGCCGGCTGCCGCACCTGCGCTTCCGCAGGCCGCCCACCCCCCAGCGAGGGCTCGGTGCCACCGCTGGGGGCCTCCCCTGACGGCCCTGCAGGAGGCTCCTCCAGCCAAGGGGCCTCTCTGGCCCACTTCCCGCCCAGCACAGGGGCACCCCACATGTGGGGGGGGGAGCCAGGGGAAGTCTTGTGCAGGGCTCCTTCCAGGTCAGCACAACCGCGTGACGGACGGACGGGCGCCCGCGGCCCTCCCTGTGCCGCCGAGGCCAGGCCAGGCCAGCCGCTTGGCGGGGAAGCAAAGGCAGCTGCTCCAGGCAAGCGGGGCAGCCGTGCAGGGCGCTCCGAACCCCACACCTGCAGCACGGCAGGGGACGGCGCCTCTGGGGGCCCCGCCGGGGAACAGCTGCTCTGCGACGTGGCCCAAAGCCATTTCTGCCTGCGGTCACGGGAACGCTCTCGGGCCACGAAGCCCAGGAAGCCGCTGGCCGGGGGGAGGAGGGAAGGCAGGTCGCCGGGCAAGCCTCTTCCCTCCGCAGCGGCCCGGTGAGGCCCCGCAGTCACCTGCGCCCCCCCACCGCTCCCCATTCTGAAATGGGGACGGCGGCTGCGCGCTGCCAGGCTTCGGCGTTCCTCCTCGTGTCCGGCACTGAGGCCGCTCAGCCGCCGTGCCGCTAATCACTTCCGCCCGGCCTGCCAAATTCGGCACGCGGCTCGGAGATCTGACCCCAGGACAAAGGGGCTCTTTCTGAGCGGCTCCGGAGCCCCCCTCCCCTCCTGGCATGGCCCACAGGCCTCCCGGCAACGGGGCACGAGGCTGGGAAGGAGGCCGGGGGAAGGCTCCCGCGGGCCACCTGCCGCCCGTGCCACCGCGGCCAGGCAGGGCCGCCCCGCGCCGCCTCCTTCCCCGGAGCCCGGGCTTCGTGCGGCGCTGCTGTGTGGGGCAGCCGCAGGGCCACGGGCCAAAGGCCGGCCCCCCGGAGCGCGAGGGCAGCCAGGACGGCGCTGCCTTGCAGGAGGCGGCAGGAGCAGAGCGGAGGGGGGCCGGGGCAGTCGCCCTGTGGGCAGCGCCCCACAGGGCCTGCCCCCGCTGCAGGCAGAGCACGGGGGGCCGGCAATGCTGGGCACGCGTGTGCGCCCCTTCCTGGGATCTGGACCTGAGAGATCCAGCACCCCCCGGCCCCTGCCGCCCCTGGATGCGCAAATGAGTTTCGCCTGCTCCTGCTCGGGAGCGCGACCCCAGCAACGCAGCGCTGCAGGCCGGGGGGGTGCTGGGGGACCGGCGCCGGCCACTGCCCGGTGCAGGCGGGGGGGGGGGAGGAGGAGAAGGGCTCGCTCTCAGTGGCAGCAGGGCCACGGGCAACGCCGCAGGGACTGGCGCCCCGGCACCGAGAGTGCCTGCCTTGAGTCCCGAGGAGCCCATGAGGGCCGCCGAGCCGTTGCCCCTTGGCCTCCCCTCCCCACTTCCTGGCAGAGCCAGAGGGGAAGTGAGCGGCTGTCCCGTCCCTGCCCTCCGTCGGGGGCTTCCTTTCATGCATGGCAACGCTAAGGCACCCGCCTGCGCGGGGCAGCTAGGCGGGCTGGTGGGGCCAGCTGGAGCCCCCTGCCACGGGCCTCTTCCTCCAGACGTGGCTGCTGGGCTGGGCCAGTCCAGGGGAAGCGGCACGCGCCCCTGCGGGCTCGATCCCTGGCCTGCCCCTCCAAGATGGAGGCCTCGGGGAAGGGGAGGGTTTGTGGGACACGGTGCGGGGGCTCGGCCCTCTGACTCCGAAGATGCCTCCGGCACAGGCCCACGGCCTGCTGGTCCTTTCACTCCTTGGGCTTGTCCCAGGAGGCACCGGGACCGCCCACCTGCCGGGCTGGACGCCACTGGCCTCGTCACAGCTGCCCGTCTCCTGGCACGGCCGACGTGCCCGCGGCCCCCGGCAAGCGCTCCTCACAGGCCAGCCTCCCTTGCTCGAAGGGGACGAGGCCGCCTTTCCCTCAGGGAAGCGATCCCAGAAAGCAGGGCAGGGGAGTCGGAAAGCTTGGCAGCGCAGGCGAGCGTGGCAGTGTGGCCCGATCCGACGGGTGCGCCAGGAGCCCCGGGAACCGCGAGGGGGCAGGCTCTCCCCCAGCGCCTCCCCCTGCCGCTTCGCGAGCGTCCCTGGGGGAACTTCCATGGTGCTCCTGGGGGCACTTCCAGGGCACAGGGAGCCACTGCCGCCGGCTCACCGCCTGGCCTGCGCACGGCCCACAGCGCCCCTGCCGCTGCCTGAGCGGCTCACCCAGCCGCGCCGGAGACAGAGAGCAGGTCTGGGCAGGCCGCCCTGCGCGGAGGGAGAGGCCGCTGGCAGCCGGCAGAGCACGTTCCGCCCGCACGGCACTGGGGACCCTCCGGCTGCCGTGACATGGCGATCCTCGCCGGGTGGCAGACCCTCCAGGCGACCCCCAGGCGGGAGGGGGTCGGCCGGCCCAGGCCCCCCTGCAGGAGGCGTGTGGGTGCGGGAGAGCGAGCCCGGCCCCACGGCTCCTGCCTCCGGCGCACCAGCCCAGCAGCGGCCAGCAGCCACGCACACTCCTCGCATCGCGCCAGGCCCACCGCCGCCCCCCAGGGCTGGCGGGGCAGCCTGGCTCCCAGAGGGCCCCCCAGAGGGGCTCGCCCCCCTCCCTCCTGCGGGTCGCCTGGGCAGAAGCCCGTGCCGGCCTAGGGGCCCCCCAGGAGAAGTGCACCGTGCCCCCGTGCCAGCACGCAAGGGGGGGCCATGGACCGCTTGCCCGGCGGGTCAGAGGGAGGGTTTCCAGCCGCAGAGGCGCCGGCTGACCCGGGGCACGGCCCCCCTTCCCGCCGGAGCGCTGGCCTGGGGGGGGGGGTCCTCCCCGTGGAAAGGCCGGAGGCCGCCCCCCGCCCCGCGGGCTCAAGGGCAGGGGAGCGCAGGGCGACCGCCGGCAGAGGGGCCGCCATTCGATTAAAGCCGCCACACGGCCGCCGGCGAGCTCTCCCTAGCAACAAGCAGCTCCGCAGCGAAAGCGCGGCCGGCACGAGCCCCCCCCCCCGAGCACGGGGGCCGCGCGTGGGGGGCACCGAGAGCCGCTCCGCACGCATCGCAGCGGCGGCCGGGGAGGAAGAGGGCGGGATGAGGGGGAGGAAAGGCGCAGGGGGAGGAAAGGCAGGCGAGGTGCGCACCCCAGCCCTAGCTCTGGGAGGCGGCATGGCCCCCGCGCTTGTGGAAGGCAGGGGCCGTCTCCCCCACGCCCTCCCTGGGCGCCCCACCAGGAGCCAGCCTGGGCGGCCGGCGAGCAGCTGCGGGGGATTCCCCCCCCCCGATCCCAAGGAAAGCCACTGGCGTCTAGGAACGGGGCCTCTCCGCCACGGGGCCCCCTGCGCCCCCAGATTCCGGAGCCCGGCCCGAGCGGTCGAGCCCTCCTTAGGGCTGGGGAGGGCGCCAGGGCCGGCTTGTGGCCCAACGGCCAGCCCCGCGGCAGGTGAGGGGCCCTCCGGGGGGCCTCCTGCTCTCACCCGGAGTGCAGGGCTTCAGGGAAGCGGAGCCGGCACGCTGGCTTTGCAGGCGAGGAGCACCAGGGCCTCCCTGCCGCGAGCGGGGCACCCAGGCACGCCTGCCACGGAGTCCCCTCGCCCTTGAGGCGCCCTGAGAACGGGGGGCTCTTGCTCAGCACACCTGTGGACTTCCAGGTGGGGGCGCAGCCGCCCCCTCCTGCGGGCTTCCTTCGAGCAGCCTTCCCTCCTGCTCAGACAGGGTGTCCCACCCCCATGGCAAACCACCAGACCTTCACTACAGCAGGCAGGCGGTTGGACAGACAGACAGACGGACAGACAGACAGGGGTCCCCAAGGGCACAGATCTGACCTGCCCCCACCAACTCCAAGGCAAGGCAAGGCAAGGCTGCACCCCGATACCCGGAGCGGAGCCCAGGCGGGGCAGAGGCGGGCGCTGGCTGGTCCCGCCAGGCCTGCTCCCTGCACGCAGAGGCCTCCCGCCCGGCAGGAACGCCCTTCCTCGTTCGCACGCCGCTTACTCAGGCATCTGCGCTGGCTCCGGCCCAGCTGCTCCCGGCCGCACCCCGGGCGGCAGGCTCCGCGACCCACTTACACCGGCTGCCTCTGAGCAGGGCTCCCGGCACCTTCCGGGACGAGAGCCACGCCACGCGTTCGTCCCCAGAACACGCACGGGCTGCTGGCTCGGCCCGTGCACCCGAGCTCCCGAGGAGGAGGAGCGGGGCGTCGGAAAAGCCGCGGGGCTCCAGAGCTCAGGGGCCAGAGAAGAGTCAGGGGAGCACAAGGCGGCCAGCCGTGGGCAGATGTCCACCGCGGCGGCCACCCTCGTGCAGAGGCTGGGGGCCGCCCTGCTTTGGGGCAGCTGCGGGCCAGCCCCTCCCAGCACGCCGGCCCCCAAAGAGCCCCCTCCCTTTCCAATGTACGCCCAACGCGGCCTCCCCCCGCTCCTACACACGCCTCAAAAGCACCAGGCCGGGGCTTCCTGTTCAGCAAGAACGGCCCAAAAATTCTACCCCGCAGAGGAAACCGACAGGACCTTCTCTGCGCGGGCGTGCCAGACCACCTGCCGAACCTTTCCCAGCCACTTCCTGTCTGAAGAAACGGGGGTCCTCAAACCCGGCAACGGAATGCCCCGTTTTGGGTTGCGCCCACAGTGCCCACGCTGCAGCTCCGCCGCGCACGCTGGCGCCACCGCAGGGGGGGTGCTCGAACACCCGCCGGGGCTGCCTTGGGGGGCGGCCCAGCAGTTGCTGGCATCCGGGTGCTGCATGCAGGGGTACCCCCGTCAGAGGGGCACAGCCGGCCCATGTGCCTTTGGCCCAGGGCACTCTGGGCACAAGGGCCCTTACAGCAGCCCACCTGGGCTGTGGCCCCTGTTCGGGGGCCCCCAGCGAGTCCCAAGGAGGCAGGCGGCCCCTGGGGCCGTGGCCTCGTGCTCCTGGGCTCACTGGGCTCCCCCGGCAGGCATTCGAGCAGGGGCGAAAGGTCAATGGCTGCTGAGCCCTCTTCCTGAAGGATTATGCCGCTGGGTTTGAACCGACATGGAGCTCTTTTCTGGGTCGCTCTGCCGATTTGGCACAGGGGCTGCCACTGCTCGTGTGTTGGGGCCTTGGAGTTCCTTTCCTGCTTTTGCTGCTGTTGTGCTTTCTGTGACGGGAGAGGGTTGCTCATGGAGCGGGGGGGGGACCGAAAAGTCAGAACCGGAAACGCAAACGTACATCTTCCTTAAAGGTCTGGACTTGCCGTATCACAGGCCTTCGGCGGCCCACTGAAACCTTGGGGCTGGGAGTTCCACGGGCTAACAGCAGCGGTCCCAAGGGAATCCCGCTTCCTGTAACGTGCGATCTTCCACTTTCTGTTTTCAGTGGCTCATGTTAGTGCAAAAGGGCAGGAAACACACGAAACAGATGCTAACTCGCCTGTTTCGTATTAGCAATGACACGGGACAGAGCAAGCACTAGCATTTCACAGAAAGCCACCCTGAGAAGCTGCGCCTTCTTTCCTGCACGTTGACTGGTCACGAAGCACAGACGCTTGCAGATCTCAGGGGCGAGAGGGTAACACAGGTTAATCTTTGTGGTTTCGGGAAACCTTCCTTCCCCTTGTCCGTACATCCCCCCCCCCTGAGATAAGCGCTTGCTGACAGACACAACGGGGAAGCTCTGCAGAGGGAGGACAAGTCAGCCGAAGAAAATGGAGGGAAGGCGGGCGGGGGGGAGGGAGGGACGTGGAAAGTGTCCCCATCTGCCCAGGACACGGCACTGCGCAACCTGACGGAGCCCTCCCTGAGCGAGGAGCAAAGGCAGGCCGCATTCCAGAGGGTTTCTCGACACCCGAATCCGCTGACAGAGCACAGGTGAAGCCTCCCAACCTGCAGCAGCCGATTATAAGGACGAAAGAGGTGGGGAGGACGAAAGAGGCGGGGGACGCAAAGCAACTCTGCACACGGGTCTGGCAAGAAAATGACTTGCAGAAGGTGGCAGCAGGGGAGCCAGCAGGGCTGCCCCTTTGGGCTGGGGGGGCCTGTCTAGGACCCACGGCTTCCTCAAGCCGGCTTCAGACCCACACCTTGTCCAAATCCAGGTGCGTCACAAAGGTTAAAAAAGAAGTGGGAGCAAAGCCATGCAGCCACAACCCAGCCCCAAACCATCCCGCCAAGCACTGGGGGGAAAGCCAGGCATTCTTTTGCATAAGGCGTTGTGCGAGGCGCCGGCATTCCAGGGGAAAGAGCGTGTGGGGCGTGCCGTGTCCTGGGTAAAGTGCAACCTGGAGCAGGTGGCACACGCTCTGCCCCAGCAGCTCTCCGCCTGGGCCTGCACCGGGCGGGAGGCAACGAGGCAGGAGGCCCAGGCCCTGCCCTTCCGCCCTCCCTCCAGTTCCTGGGCAAGAAACTTGCAAAGAGAAACCTGAAGTCTGAACTAGGCTGCCGGCCCCCAGGGGCTCGGAACCCAAACCGAGCGTGTTAAAGGAGGCACGAAACAGATCAGCGCAGCGACTCCCTGGAGGAGCCCAGCCGTCTTGCTGTGGAGGCTAGCCGGAGAGGCCACGGCGGCAGGAAGGTGGTCAAGGTATGCTGGCACCAGGAAGCAGGTGGGGGAAACTGCAGAGAGCCCACGAGATAAAGCACTGGGAGGGAGTGTTTACAGAGCAACCGATATCTCGCTGACTGCATGACAGCCCTGGAGCCGAGCCGCCCAGGTGAAGCTGGGAGTGCAGCACAGGCTCGGGATTCAATACGCCTCCTTCCTCACCTGCGGAGGAGCTGGAGGGGCCCTGGGCGCGGGGGGGGGGGGGGGAGGGGGGAGCGCATCCCGCCCCCGCCGCGACGCACGCTGCTTCCCACCGCGCCACGCTCGGCTCGGCTCGGCTCTGCCCTGCTCTGCCCGCCGCCCATGCAGAGGAAAAATGCGCGCCTGTGCAGGCAGATGGGCTACGCGAGCGCCCCCCCCCCCCTCCCCCCCCCCCCCCCCCCTCCCGGGGAGGCGGGGCGAGGCGAGGCGAGGCGAGGCGGTTCTCCGTAGTGCCTCGGCCGAGCGCCACAGGACGGGAAGAGGGTCCGCATCGGGGGCGCCGGCGGGGGGGCACTGCCAGCGGCGGGGGCTGCGCAGCCGGCCGGCCGGCCGGGCGAGCGAGCGAGCGAGCGGGGGCGGCGGCCGTCCCGGCGAGCCCCCCGCCCGCGCTGCAGGTTGCAAGGAAGGAGGATGACTGTGCACTGCGCT